GGCCGCGCATCCACTCTCGCCGCGGCCGGTGTCCCCGGCCGGCGATCGGACTCCTGGGAGCGCGGGCTCCGAGCGGCCTCGGAGGGTCAGCCCGGCCGCCTGGCGTGCTCACCTCCTCTGGCCCCTGGTCAGAAGTCGGGAGCTGGGAACCCGCGCGACGCCACCGATCCGCGAGGCGAGTCATGGACTGAGCGGATCCGCGGAGTTGGTAGTTGTATTTACACCCGTCCCGGGCTGCGCCCCGAGGTAGGGGCGGGGGCTCTCCCTTCCCTTCCCCTCCCCCTAGGTCGAGTTTCACGCGCACGTGACTCGCCCTCGGGTCCCCAGATACTCTGCCCCGGCACACACCCGAGCACCTAAAATTTCCACCCTCGCCCCCCACACTCCCTCGGCCGCCCGGGCGAATACATACGGCAGCGCCCTCAGTCTCCTGGGCCCAGACAAAGAAGGATACGGCTGGAGCGAGACTGACCGCGATGCAGGGCAGGCTTGGGTGGGGTTTTGAACTGTGCAGTTGGGAGTCGTGTTTTCCAGAGGCAGAATGACACGTGTTTCTTTGGAGTTAGTCAGATTGAGATCTCAGTCTGACTTTGAAACTGATTGGCCGGGGTTACCTTGGCCAAGCTGCTTAACCTCTCTGAGCCTCGGTTTTCTCCCCCCTTATATTCAGCCAAACAATAAACTAGGTATTTTTAAGGGGGTGGGGTGGAAATCGTACTGTGCAGGTAACACGCTCAGCCCAGCTTTTGCACAGAATCAGCAAATACATGTTGATGGCTGTTGCTGCTGTCATCATTCCAGAAGACTCAGAGATGGGATGCTTCCAGAGATGGCTCCTGATAAATAGCTCAGGCTCACTGGGCCTCCTTATCTGTAAAATGGAGGGAAAGTGTCACTCCTTGGAGGGTGAGTGTGATTAGTGAGATAAGGAGACCTGAGATGAGGGTGACGGTGGCAGAGAGAGGTGAATCTCACACAGGCTGTCGGGAGCAATGTTTCTCGTACTCACAAAACTGCTCGGGAATGTGAGCAGCTGCTCCGACCGTTCCAAGGCCTTGGACAACAGGCATCTCCAGGGCATCTCCAAACAGCTGGGCCACCAGGAACTGACATTTGTTAAGTGGCTACTATGTGTTGGGCAATTTTCAAGTAAAAAGGACCATGAAGTGCTCAAAGCCTTGTGACCTTACTGAAACTTCCCGACTCTGACTCTTCCCAGGAGAGGGCTGGAGGCTGGCAGCTGCACAAGGTGAAGGGGGTTGGAGGCAAAGTCAGACCTGGCAGGCTGCTAAGTGTGGCCCATCCTCACTTCCCCGCCCACATGCAACCTCCCATGCTGCTCCTTTGAAGACCTGTCTCCACCCAGCTCTCCTGGACCCCTCTAAGCCCACGCCAGCATTTGTGAATATTTTCAAGTCCACTGAATTGTGCCCTTTAAAGGAGTGAATTTTATGCTGCGTGAATGGTTTCTAACTTTTTTGAAGTTACTTTGCATGTGTCAGACACCCAGGAGATGCAAGAGGAAAGACCCAACTGTCTGCAGGAGCAGAGTCTGCTCTGATGGTTTCACTTCTTAAAATCCACCCCTGGCCCCCACGGGAGGGTGACACGCCTCCCCCTAGCATGAGGGTCAGAGTAAGGGTTCAAACCCACGATAGTCACAGGTCCCTCGGAGGCTGCAGTAAAATGTTGAGCTGCACCCCCTGAACATGCCTGTGAGGGTGTGAGCACGCATTTACATTCACATTTCAGGCTTTTGTGGACTCCCTCCTCTGGCTTTTGGGGGGCATGGATCCCATGTTTGTTCTTCCCCGTCTCTAGTTCACATTTCCACGTCCTCCCCTTGTGAACTATCAGCTCCACGAGGACAAGGCCCTGGTCTGGGGTGCGTGGGGCTCTATTCCCAGCATCTAGAACAGCACCTGGCACTTGAGAGGCCCTCAGCAAGCACCTGTGGGATGAAGTGTAAAGCCAGCTGCTCTCACACCTCGGTGCCTTCACACCTGCTGTCCCTCCTCGTGGGAATGACAGATCCCCGTCTATGTTTCTAATGCACTCACTCACCCACCAAGGCTCAGCTCAGGTGCCACCTCGTCCTGGAAGGCTCTGCCCTGCAGGCTGAGTGAGGCCCTCCCCAGCCCGCACTGCCCATGACGCCCTCAGAGTCGCCCTCAGAGTTCTAGAGCCATGTTGACTTGGCTAGCCCCCTTCTCCGCGAGACCCAGATCCCCTGGGGGCAGGAGCCAGGTGATGTGTGTGCCTGTCGCTTTCACAGGACCTGGCATATAACCAGCAGTGGGAAGCACAGAGAAGTGAGTGAAAAAAGAAGCTGAAAGTAGGCTTGACCCATGCGAGGCCGAGAACTTAGTGCTGGAGACAGGATGGGGACTCCTAGACTTCTTTTGGTTTTGTTTGTGTCTAAGGAAGGTGGGTGGCTGTGGCGGGGTGTGTTTGGTGGGTGGAGGATAGTGACCTTAAAGCAGTTAAGAGAGGGCCCTCCCTGCTGACACACGGGGTTAAGGCACAGCGCCCGTGAAGCTACCACGGAGTGACCCACAGGGCCAGACGTCTCCTGGCTCCCCGCTGCTCCCCTCAGCAGTGTGTCTTAGCCAATCTGCCT